GATCGTCAACTTGGTAGCTATTCATCCATTGTGTTTAGGTCTTTTATGTTACTCCTGATTCAAGGTGAATATGTACATGCACTGTAGTTGAATGGAATCGTGTTTATATTGGCTATTCATCCGTTGTGTTTATGTCTTTTATGTTAGACCTGATTCAAGCTGAATATACGTAAGCAGTGCAGTTGAATAAAATCATTATGTTTTTAGCTGTTCATCCGTTGTGTTTAGATCTTTTGTTTTATATCTGATCCAGGTTGAATATGCACAAGCACTGTACTTGAACAGAAGCGTGTTCATGTTAGCTATTCATCCGTTATGTTTAGGTCTTTTATTTTACATCTGATTCAAGTTGAAAATGCGTCAGCAATATAGTTGAACAAAATCGTGAAGGTATTAGTTATTCATTCGTTGTGCTTAGTTCTTTTGCGTTAGATCTGATCCAAATTGAATATGCGCAAGCAATATAGCTGAACAGTTTCTTGAAAATGAGCATTATTATTAACGCTGTCATCTTCATTTATGCTAGACCTGATCCAAATTGAATATACGCAAGCAGTATACTTGAACCGAATCGTGCGGTTGTTAGCTATTCATCCGTTGTGTTTAGTTCTTTTATGTTAGATCTGATACAAATTGAATATGTGCAAGAAGTGTAGTTGAACAGTTTCTTCCACATTAACGTTATTCTGTTTCTCGGACAGAATAGACTTGGAAGAATAACTTGTTTGCTTGCTTTCTTAGTTGCTTTTGTGTCCGTTGCTCATTGATTGGTTCAATAATAGTGTGGGAGGAAAAGGTTTATTTTGCTTAAAGTTCGATGAAAGTTAACCGGTGATGGAGTATTCGAATTCGACGTTAATCTTTTTTAGATGTTTTTAGCGTTGATTGTTTTTCCAGAAATAAATGTTTTTTACGAAAGAAGTCATTTTTTTTTATAAAGTTTAACCCAACATAAACGAAGCTCGGAAATCTATTAATTAACTGTTACCTAGCCATTTATTGTCAGAGATGTTTATAAAATTTGGTTGTAGATGCTCCAGAATGCTGAACTCAAATCGAAGATAGATTTAAATCACTCAATAATCGAGAGGCTATGATAGGGGTTAGTTAGAAGCGAATAATATATGCACACTAAATGAACAGGTACCGCTGATGTTTGGATTCGATAATGCTTTTCTATAAAAAACAATCCTAGTTTGGTTAGGAAAGTGTTGAGTCCGTTCATACAATGATCCTAGATGACTACTAGGCCATATAACAATCACAACAGAGCATTCTAAGATTTATAGACAATTTCTTCAAAATGTGCCAGGTTGAAGTTTATGTAATAAAAAGTTTGATGGAATAATACACAGTACTACAAACATAATTAACAGTTACAAGTGTATAGGCAGAGTAAGTAATTGTATGTCCTTTTCAAGGAGACTACTTTTCACCATATGGGTGGGAGGGGGGAGTGAAAGATAGTGATGAGAAACAAAAGGAATGAAATTTTTAAAAAGAAAGATTTTTGGGGGTAATTCAACGTGGAGAACTCGAATCTTAGCTCTATTTCTCAAACAGTTTCTTTGAAGAGAAGGCATGTGAATTCATAGAAGTCGAGTCCTTCAATAGGGTATAGGTAGGGGAACGATGCCGTCTCGTACGAGAAATAACTGAGCGAGTTCACACACGAGCATTATTTGTAAATACTTCTTCTACCGTTTGTTTGTCGGTATTCTAATTAACTTCACACTGTTGTTTCTAGCTTGATAAAATATTTCAACAGGTTTTTGCTATGATCTATCCATCTGCCATATGTTCGTCAAAGTTTTAACTTATTTCATATCATTGTTTCTAACTAATCAAAATATACGATTGGTTTCTTTTTAGAATCTGTTCATCTACCATATGTACAACAATGAGATGACCAATTCTAAATCGTTGATTCAAGCTCAAAATGTAATTTAACAGAACTCTGTTTCGAGCTATTCAGTTGTTTGCTGTCTATCAATGGTTTTAAGTTTTCGAAATCTTTACTTCATTATAACGAAATATTCGAATTATAAGTTGTTGTGGACTATTCATCGTTCCTTTTATTCATTTTTCAAGCGATCTCCAATTGTATGATTGAGTTAGCATATTTTACAGTCTAGTGAGCAATATAATAGAGTCCGCGTATTGTTTGTACTATTCATCTGTCATGTTGTCATGACACATATGATGAATTGCAAATCTCACCTTCAATTTAACTCAAATATTTGAATACAACTTTAATTTTAGTTATTCAATGACCATATGTTGTTCGACTTCTGATCAAACATAAATGCCTAATCAAAGCTCCATAGAATACTTCGATAGTTTCTTTATATGGTTCGTTCATTTGTTATGTGTTTACCAATACTCTGACTCAATTCATTCTCTTTTCGAAGTGAGTAAAGTATTTCGAATGCTTTTGTTTTACAAACGATTCGTTGTAGACGTGTTTCTCGTTTTTTTCAAAATTTATTTTCGTTACTAAAAATTAGTTTAAACTATTTGAATATGCCTGCACTTTATCTATTTCATTTCTTTTGCCATCGTCGAAAAGCATAAAAATTACAAAACCTTTGTTTAAACATAGCAGATTAGTTGAATTGGCTTGTTGTTTAGACTGTACAATCGCCACGTAGTTATCGTTTATTAAAACGAATCTATCTATTTATTTTAAGTACCATAGAATATTTTAGAAATCTCTTAGTGTAAACTATTCTATTTCATTGCGATAATATATCATTGTATCAATATTCTCTCTATTCCAGACTCAATAAAATATCTTAAAAACCGCTTCCTACTCTAGTCTTCTTCAATCTTTTGCCAAAATGAGTATATGTTTTAGTAGAAGTCTGTCATACATATTTCGATTATGAATATTATTTTCTTATTATTAGAGAGTTTGTATTAATTAGAAAATTCATTGATTTCTACTTATGATTATTCATAGATTTCTTATTTAAAATATGTTTACCTCAAAAAAATCATGAAAATATCTTGAGTAATAAATAAGTTCTTGTTTGGCGATAATTTGAGAAAAACTATTATCCAACTTATTTTTCTTACAAGTATATTATTGTACAGCCGAAAACATCTTTTCATCAGAAATATATATTCTATCAGATGAACATTAACTTAAAATAGAGACTGAACACTGAATAACATTGTTTGTTCATTACAATATCCTATCTAGTTTATTTATACTTTATCTAAGCAGCTGAAGCATATAAGAAGACGATGTCGTTAGTTGGAAGCTCTATGATCAAATAAATCATCATATCTTAATATCCCTACATTATGAAAATTTATATATACTATTTCAATATTTATATTCTTGCAAACAATGTTAATTGATTCTCATTCTCTGAAAATGCATTCAAAATTACGGATGACGGTACAATGAATATATTTTTTGTATATTACTACAAAAAGACTAGTTTAAATTAAAGACTACAATTATTTGAAACTCTTTTATTGAATAAAATGCAATAAATAATTCTTTAAATCTATGTCAAGTTTGAAATGAATTTAAGATGCTACTGAAAAAATTGTATTTAAAATATTGTTATAAAAAAAAGTATTTGAATTTATCGATTGATGATGCAGTATATACAATCGAATTAATCGAACACGTGTCACATTTATTGCTTATTCTTTTCATTCTCTCGTACTTTTTTCTTTATTCTTTGCACTTTCTTCATCGTATCGTTTTTATAATATCACATGTGCTTCGCTTCTAATACACAAAATTTATCTACCAACAGCAATAATAAAGAAAATAATTTAATGATTTAATCAGTGCATATATAGTAAAAATCGGCGATTTTATTCACTTTTAATTTAGATCTCAATATTTTTATGCGTATCCAATGGAAGAAAATGCTTTTGTCTTTCAGATTTTAAAGAGCTCCTTTTTTTGAACATTTCGAAAAAAAAGAATTATAAATTTGATCGATAACTCAGAATGTAGGAATTACATGAATTTAAACTTTCTTTCAACAAAACCATCAACGAAGAGAGAGTTTTGTTTTTTTTAGTGTACAATTTAAATGATATGTTCGAACTGTTATCTTTCACAATACAATTTAGAAACATTTTTGGATAACAATATATTGTGAGTATTAGAAGTAATTTCTTATCTTGCGTATCATTTTGCTGAAAAAAAAGATTAATCAAGAAATCTTCTTCTGATTCTGACACACGTGTTATCGTAATTTTTATATTCACAGTCACTACGACGGAGAAATTCTTTTATTCAATCGTAATCTTCTTCTACAAATTAAAAAACTTTTTAATATGTATCGATTAATTATTTAATAGCACAATAATCTTTAATGTATTTTTTTATACAATGCATAAAACGATACAGATTAGTAAAAATCACACTTATTTCTTTTACTTTTGGTTTATATATATACATGTCATAATGTTAATTTCTAAACGATTATTTGCATTAAAGTTTTTTACATCAACTGATAATCTTGATAATTTTTTGCGGAAAAAGCGCTTTTAGAATTTCAACTATATACAGCTGGATCAGTTAATCTATTCGTAACATTGTCGTTCACTTATACATAGTTGTTTTAACATTCGTTTGTATGATTTTTTGTTTTAATTAAATCCTTTGGTTCAGACCTAGTATATTCAGTATACCATTCTATACATGGACTTTTAATAAAATTATATCGAATTCAGAACTAATGTTTCAATTGACTAACGTGTCGTATATCCTGTGTCTTTTACAAAATGTATCAAATTGGTATAGACGATAATAACAAGTATGAATCTTTATTTTATTTCGAATAAAAACTTCTTAGACAATCTTTTCTTTGTAATTTTACGTCCATTTAGACATTTAATAAATTTTTAATCGCATAAGCAGCAGCAGTAGCAACAACAACAAAGAGAAAATAAAGCATAGAGTCTAGTTTAAAAAAAATTGATGTTCTTTTTTTAAATATGATTGATATTCAGAAAAAAATTTTGAACTAAGTATGAATGTCCATCATATCGGCACTTGTTTGTAATTCACCTTCAGATGGTTTTGATACAAGAATTTTCTCTGGATACATATTATCAAGTACACGTATGCCTTTAGTATCGATAATTCGTACAAATACACAATGTGGATATGCAGCCATACGTTTACCAAGTTCATTGACAATAGTTTGTAACATAAATAATGCTTCATCAACACTTAGATCTTCTTTCCATAAACGATCACCAATAGCCAAAGCAAAAAA